AAGACTGGTGGCCAAATGGTTCTTGCAAACTTCAGGTGTGGATTACCATGAAACTTTTAGTCTAAAGCTACAACTCTAAAAATTGTACTCACCCTGCCATATCTAAGAACTGGAGTATCAGACAAATTGACATCAATAATGCATTCTTAAATGGGAAACTTGAAGAGGAGGTCTACATGAGGCAGCCTGAAGGTTACATTGATAAAACAAAGCCTAATTTTGTCTGCAAACTTAAGAGAGCACTCTATGGACTAAAGTAACACCTAGAGCATGGTATGAGAGACTAAAGAAAACGCTTTTGGACTGGAGTTTTTCAAGATCAAAGGCTGACAATTCTCTGTTCTTTTACACCAACCAGAATCAAGTAATTTTTGCCTTGGTGTATGTTGATGATATAGTTGTTACAGGAAATGATCAGAAGGCAATGCAAGACTTCATTGACAATTTGAATGCTACTTTTGCTCTGAGGACTTAGGTGAGTTGCATCAGGTCTTGGGAATTGAAGTAAAAAGAGAAGAGTTTGTGATGCATCTAACTCAAGTCAAGTACACTAAAAATCTGCTGAAAAGGTTCAAACTTGAACATGTTAAACCATGTGGAACACCTATGTCTGTAGGGAAGATCATCTCTCCAGAAGTGAAGGAAATGAAATGGTAGAACCTTCTCTATATATGAGTGCTGTAGGTGGACTTCAATACTAGGTTCACAGACGACCTGGTAAAAGTTTTGCAGTCAACAAAATGAGCCAGTTTTTACAAACACCTACAGATGTTCATTAAAAGGCAATGAAAAGAATATTCGGGTACTTAAAGGATACAATTGAACAATGACTCTGGATACAAAGAACTGATACAATACATCTTATTGGGTTTGCTAATACAGATTGAGCATCATGCCATGATGATAGAAGGTCTACAGCCGCATATTGCATCTACTTGAGAGACACATTGGTAGCTTGGTCATCAAAGAAGCAACATGTTGTAGCTAGCTCCAACACTGAATCAGAGTACAGGGCTCTAGCACAAGCTGTAGCTGAACTGACTTGGATTGAATCACTGTTTAATGAGATCAAATTAGCTTTGTTACACCTTCAATACTTTGTGTGATAATCTTGGTGCAAATGCCCTAGCCTCAAATCTAGTTACCATGCCAGAACGAAGCACATTGAGCTAGATATACATTTTATCAGGGACGAGGTTATTGAAGGAAAGTTGAACATTCAATACATTCCATTGTCCGAACAAATTGCTGACCTTTTGACCAAACCTCTCTCACAAACCAGATTCATCTTCTTATGGGACAAGCTTGGAGTTAGATAATTAAACTCCAACTTGAGGGGGAATGTTAAATTATTTTATCCATGCAGTCACCGGTATTTCCTATAACTTACCGGATTGACATTCATCGAATTTCTTACAACTTACTGTATTTGCACTAACTGGATTTCCTATAACTTACAGAATTGACCCTCACTGGATTTCCTACAACTTACCGTATATGAACTCATTCCTAACTTACTATATCTACACTCATTCTAACTTACCAGATCTAGCTATTACCGGATTGTGCAGTTTGTTTTGGGAGCACAAAGATTATTGTATCCATATTGATTCTTCACGTGTAATTACTATTCTTCCTTGCTCCCTGCTCCAGCATCTTATATATAATGCTGGCATTGTAATCTTGAAAATTGCATCTGATTAAGAAATATATTTCCATCTCTTTTTAGATTCTTAATTCTTTACTGCTTTCTTCATATTCTTAACTTTTAGGACTTGTTTATGAATGATATATGTCATGAGATCGATACTTATAGTATTGAATGCATTTCCTTTCATTGCAGTGTTTATTCGAGGCTTCATCATTCATTTCATTGAACTTTACATGCTCTTTTATGTGTTGTCTTGGTGGACTAATGGAGACATCATTTAATTCACTAACTATGGTAATCCAAACCGCAAAAAAAAAAAAAAAAATTCTCTTATGAGGTGCTTTTGAAGGCTATCTTACCTCCCCTAGATGAGAGAAGTGTTTGTGTTGTCGAGGAAGAGTCGACCTTTGGGTGTGACAATATATAGGAGTCATATACAAGTAGAACCTGTTGAGGAGGTGTTTAGAGTTAGATATAGCTATTCACCTTTCGTGGTTCTTGAATTGAGTTCTAAGAGTTTCTTGCCGAACGAAAGGTGTACAAGGATTTGGTGATTCCCCCATACTTATGGTTCATGGCTAAACTATATATTTGTTAAGGGATAAAATCTCATATCGAATAAAGATGAAAAATATAATTTATAAGAGTTTAGACTACTCTTTTTAATAAGGTTGATCTTTTAAGATAGAACCTCAAATTTTAACATGGTATCAGAGCTTGTTAAACTCCAATGAGAAATTCGATCCAATTAAAACTAAAAAAATTGAGTACACGAATTTCAAGATTGGTCTGTTCAAATGATCCACCATCTTGCGGGGGCATGTTAAAAAATAAAATCCGACATCGAATAAATATGGAAAACATAGACCAATTTATAAGAATTTGAGCTACTCATCTTAAGGAGATTACCTTTTAAGATAGAATCCCAAATCTTGATGAACACAGAATATATAATCAGTTTGTGTTTGATTAAGAACAATGTTGTATGCTATCTTTTCAATAGCTAGGGTTAAGTGTCTAGTTATCAGTTCATGCTTCTCTTTGCTCTATCCGGTCAAGAATGCTAAAATAGAATGATGACGATTCGCTGAAGCGGGTTTCAGTTTATAAGTTTAAGTCTGATGCTCAGTATGTTTCATCTCACTAGCTAGTGCAGTTTGGTTAAATGTTGTCATAGCATTTTGGCTCCATAAGATTGTGCTGCTACTATATCACGTTCGTCTTCATATTCTATGTTCTTTTCACTGGACGTGCGTTCTACTGGCTAACTGTTGCAGGTTCTGGTGGGCAGAATGAGTAAATATTTTGCATTATGATCTAGATAGCCATGGATGTGGAGCATATTTTCTCATATTCCACAAATTGGCAACAATCAGGAATGGGATTGTGGAGATTAACATGCATAATAACATCCAAATCTTTTCGAACCTGCACAATTTTTGTTATTTTGGCTATGTTGTGACTGAGAAAACCTTGAAAGTTGTTAGCTTCTGATTGTTTTGCCAGACGCCAGAATTGGCTAATGGAAACTTTTCGCCTCCGTATCTCATATCTATTCTCTTTTGGCAAGTATTCGATATTTTTGCCTTATGCGGTTTAGCATAGTTAAGAGTGGCTTTGAGTTAATTATTAAATGAGGTGTTTATCATGTACGGTGTACCAATTTTCTCCTTCAGGAAAAGGATCATATTTGTGGCTTCATTAGGCGTTATTGTCTCCCTGTCTTGAAAAAAATTTGAAGCGTGTGAATGAAAATTGAATTTTTGACATTATTTACGTCAAATTTATCGACCTTATATTTCTGCACATACAATGAAGTTGCTCCTGTAAAATCCTGATGAGGGGCTTTTTTAAATTCAGCTACATGATAGGTCCGAACATATGAGAAAGTGGAACCCATCCTTTGTTATCCGATAATGATTTTTCTTGATTTTTACCAAGTACTTATTTGTCACACCATGTCCTGCATTGCTTCACTTGTGACTGAGTTTTGGCCGTATGTGTAAGGTGTGATAAGAGGATATACTTCAAATGAGACGTCAAATTGATCCTACACTAGCAATGCATATTGCTACTGTTTGTCTAAATGTTATCAACTATTGTGACACTGACATACTTGTTACTCAACTTCGTAACATGTCCCATGCCATAGCCAATGAGCCAAGCCGAGCCGATTGGCCTGTAGACACAGGAGCCTGACTCGTGTTCAAATCTTACGATTGGTTCGGTCCTTTGGCTGCTGGGGCCTCATGAGCTGAGACACCGTTTTTTTTAAAAAAATAAATTAACAAAATAAGTCCAAAAACAAGCAATATTTTTAAGGTCGGAAAAAATGAGTCGGTCCACAAGCTCAACAAGCCGGCTCGTGAAAAAATTTGAGCTCGGCCCATGGTTCGCCTCAAAACGAGCCCAACTCACTCATGGAAGGAGTCAAGATGAGCCAATCCCGCGATTCTAGGAGTGACTCGACATGTTGTCATCCCTACCCATGCCCACAGTGGTAAAGTTAATAAGAGGCAAAAGCTCTATTAATCTCATATTATGAGAGTGAAATGGCATCTTTTATATATGATGAAAGAATATTCATTCATGTAGTCTCAAGACTTCAATTCAGATAACAGATGATTTGTGCTTTAACTTAACATCTAACTTAAGAAAGAGATGCAAAAGACATTAAGTGTGCTGACAGGTTCTTTAATGTAATTTTTTGTTTTATCACCTTTTATTTCCTGAATTAGTCGTGTGGGCCTGCTGCTTTGTGGATAGTATCGGTTTGATCGCAGATGGGTTCGCTATAAGTTTAACGAGATAACGTTGTTGCCTACTTGTTGGAATATTCTTGTTAGGACATATATGCCATCTATCAGGTCTAATACTTCCGAGTTAGCACGTCTTCTCATATTTCAGTTTGATTTTTGACATTTTCGACATGGAATTACTTGGTCTAATCTGAATATTGTTAATTACAGATGTTACTTCAAGATTCTGCTGCAGAGCCATGTCTTTGGATCCTATATTATATGCTCAGGTGATTGTTTCGTAAATAGTTGAAGAGGACACTCATTAATCTTGTCTTTTCTTTCAGCCAGAATCAGAAGCATGGACGAATTGGTCATTCGGCATGTGAAAGAAGTGATGATGAAAATTTCATGTCTCAAGACCACATTTGGCATTACGTTAAGGGTCCCCCACCCCCACCCCCACCCCACCAAAAACAGATAGAAAGAAAGAGACAACCACTATTTGTTTGCTCTCGTTCATTGATTCCCTTCACCTACAACCGCAACCACATCATCACATATCTTTTAGTATTCTCTTTGCATCATTCCCCGCCCTCCAATACATATCCATGGTAGCCGAAAACTCTGTGATATGTCTGTTAGGGGTCATGGATCGACTCTGGTTTCACCAAATTATTCTTTTCGCAGAACCGTCATTATTCCCCATCCCTAAAACCCCCGAAACTCTCTTGCCTACGCCCAGAAATAACTCTGAAACATCGTTAAGCATTGATCAAGAATCCTTAGTCATATCAGAAACTGCTGTTCCAAAGGTAGTGTATATACTCTTTTTATGTCTCCCTCCACACGCGTGCTCGTGCATACGACCTATATTAACTAACAATTTTTTGCCTTTTTTACTCTTTTATTCAAGGATGAGATCAGCAGCCCAGAAAGTGAGAGTGAAACGATGTCCAAACAAAGACAGACAAGGTTATGGAATGTTATGGATTCGACCAAGCCTCGTTCATCTTCAACGTCTGCTGAAAAATATTGGAAAAATCTCAGTTGCCTCGGATCTATAAGAAGATTGCAGAAAACTGTGAGCTGCAAGAGCTTGGAAGAGCTTGAACTTGAAGAAGCGAAGGGATTCATGGACTTGGGCTTCGTTTTTGAGAAAGAAAGGGTAAGCAAGAGGATGATGAGTTTAATACCAGCGTTGCAAAGGCTTGAAAAACAAAAATATGAAGAGAAAGATGTATATGATGATCATGAACACGATGATGAAAATGAAAATGACAATGAAGATGATGAGAGTAGAGGTATAATGAGGCCTTATTTATCGGAGTCGTGGCTAATCAGGAGACCTGATTCTCCATTACTGAACCTGAGGGTTCCTAGAACTTCTACAGCTGCTGACATGAAGAAATATCTCAAATACTGGGCTCGAACAGTTGCATCGTCCATTCAGCAAGAATGTTGATTTTACTGCTACACGAAGAGAGAGATCAAACGGAGAAAGAGAGAAAAACTTCTCATTTTTCCGAGCATATAGATATGATTCCACAGGCCAGTGGTAACTGAAAGTTATTGAGTTGATTTATGAAATAAATTTTGCACATGCAAAAGTTTTATTGATGTTTTATCCTTGATAGTTGATTTTGTTTTATATAAACTACATAGAAAACAGATTATTCACAAGATGTCAAGATTCCACTGTGCAGAAAGTGATAAATTACACAATCCTGGTCGGTGTTCATCAAATTTGCCTGTGCAAACGGTAATTTGACATTTAAAAAAAATTAAATTCCCTTCAATTATTTTTTGGGTTATGCAATAAGTGGATAACCCATAACATAAGGGTGTCCAAAATGGACACATTGAGGCTCCCTATTAGGGGGGCCTATGGACACCATTATAGGAAATGCTATGTCCTTTTTTGAACATAAAGCAAGTGTCAACCATGATGTACACTTTGTAGTGTACAAATAACATTTTCCTAAATCACCGTGAGCAACTTTTTCGATCTGCGTGGTGTGGTGTGGTGTGGGGTGGGGTGGGGTGTACAGGAATGAGCCAGCAAATTGAAACTAGTTGGAGTCACGACTAGACTAAAAGTTGTTTTTACTTTGGGCTGAAATGTAAATTGGGCCCTAAATCCGCCCCTACAAGTCACTATCTTGCAGCTATATCAATTAATTAAACGTTAAAAAACATTCCTTTAATACATGAAAGATAGAATATCAAGGTTGTCCCCAGGGCACATCTCCAAGTGGTAAAAGGAGAAGGTGGAAAAACTCCAGCTTTGCTTGAGACTGCCGCGTCAAGGGTTCGAATCCTGAAATATGGATTTGGCCATTGGGTAAGTGCAAGTGTACAAGCAGCCTTCCACCCTATACCCTTAGAGGCATAATCTGCGATTTACATTTTTCACCAAAGTCCAGGGCAGGACAAGTGGAGGCCGCTAAGGATGCGGTTCATCCTTTTTTTTAGAATATTAAGGTTCAATAAAATATTGACATTTATGCTTTTAGAAATTTTATTCATTTTAGTCATATAACAACAATTAAATTTCGAGTAACATTTAACCGTTTGCACGTGTATACTGACTGGAATGAAATTTCAAATTGAACATTAGAGTAGTTTTGTGAAATATTTGGTCATTAAGGTTAAATGTTGTTACATAATTGGTAAGTCCTTTAACGACATCCACCTCAAATTTGACATTGGCCCTTTATACCTTGACATTGACATTGACAAAACATTTGGTCAATTTTATGAAATTATAGATCTTCCATGATTCTTTTGGCATAATTTTTGAAAAATTAAAACGAGCTTTTGAGATTCAAAAGCTACTTCTAAATTAGTTTGATTAATTTTCTAAATAATATTTCTATATAAAAGATTTTTTTTATATAGAAGGTGACCTAACATGACTTTCTCCAAAAACTTTTTGCCTTTTTCGAAAGAAGAGACTATTTCAAAAATTATTTTTAATATAGTGTCATTGATCTTTTACACGAAGTAAAAGCAAATCCCTACCAAATGGGTCCAAAATAAAACTCACACTACGTTTGATGGAAAATAAAAAATTGATGAGAGCTCCCTTTAGTCCTGATCATATTTTCATCTTTAATAGATAATAAAAAAGTTGTAATAATGTTAAAACAAGAGCTCAAGTGGAAGGAATCGATCATTTTAACAGTAGTCGAATGTTTAACAACTCCAACACTAGATATGATGTTAATCAGGACTAATTACGTTATATTATTTAACTTTAGTGAATAAATAAATAACTTTAATGATCAATATCAGATTGTTATTGAATTTCGGTCACCATTAATTAAGTTTACTTTTAATTATTTATATATATAGAGGCATGTTCTCCTGCCCATGATAGAAAGTCTTATTATGCTCACTGAAGAGAATTCAACGTTGGGTTCTCACATTTGGAGAGAACTCAACGTTGAGTTCTCCTTCCACATCAGCAGATGGACAGTCTTATTAATTTTTTATTTTTTATTCGAGTTCATTTTAAGGCCATTTGTTCATTGATTTTAAATTATCTTTCTACATGAAATCAAAAACGTTTATTTGTGCCTTAAAAATGTGTTATAAACAAACAAAATTGTAGCACTTGGGTCGAATTCAACAATAGTGAATAAATGAAGGGCTTAATATAAATTGTTCACCTGACTGTTACGCCACGGAGTCCATTCTAATTGAAGACCCTTATTTAATACCAACACTCGCACTAATTTCCTTATTTACAGCCTGTATCAACCTCAACAATTTGTTTCATTTTCACAAAAGAGAATTAGGGATTACGTATCAGGCAAAGATAACGTTCCTCCGCAATTTGAACGCATGGTAAGATCTTTATTACCGAGATCTCTAATTAGATTTTGGAATTTTTAATATTTTATTTGGAGGTATGAGATTCGTTTTGTTTTGAATTGATTTTAGCTATATTTTATGTTATGATCTAGGGATTTTGTGTAAAAATGATATTGTACATTTACTTGCTCACACAAGAATGATCTGCCTTGTTTTTCATTTTCCTTGTTTTGTTTGAACTTTTTTTGTGAATTGGGTTATATATATATTCCGTTCTATTTGCGGGATGCTAGATCGATGCTTGATGGGTAACGTGCATTTGATTTAGCCAAGGAAAACTTTTATTTAGAAATGCGCTGGCATTTAATTGTTCAGAAATGTGGGTTTGTTCTATGAGGATTTGGATATTTTTTTAAAAAAAAAAATTATATTCTTGGCATTATGGAAATCATATAATATGGTCGAAAAGTTTGGTGTTTCTACAGTTTTGATAAAATGGATAAAAACGAGACAAGATTAAAAGTTTATTTCTCCTAATAGGGTTGAACGAGTGGTTTTAGAAATTGGATAAATGCACTAGTTTTCCCTTATGCTCTTCATCCGATTTCCAGTCCAGATTTGAAAAACTTTTGGGCATTATGATATGCACAATGGAATGAGTTATTTTGGTTATTATATCTATTTGATGTGATCTTTTCAATGAAAATAATAAAAGAAGAAAGTTTTCATTGAATCAAATACGTTCGCCTTGGTTTGGGATATTTTCAAAATTTAATGTTAGCTGGTTAAATGGACCATTTCTAGGGGGGGAAAAAAATAAAAATTGATATTGTGGTCAACAGCATGGAATTAAGGCCTCGAACTTCGGCATTTGGAGAAAACATGTCTGATTTGAAGATGTTGTAATTCCAATTTGGATACTCATGTGCTACCTAGCAGAAGCCAATAGTACACTAGTTATGTCTGCAACAAGTTGTTTATGTCCCGTTGTTGGGTTAGTTATTTACATTTTGCATTTAGAAATCAGTTAGTTGACCAAGACTCATAATGAGTGTGAACCTTACACCAAGTTTTGCAAATATTGTTTGTGAGAACTCATTAAACAGGGTTAGTAATTCTGTAGCCATGGTCCCATGGATTAATAGCAAGGACCAAACAAATTTTTGGATGCCAACAAACCTGCATTTTTCGTCATCTGATTGTTTTTTGCAAAAGGTTTCATGACGAACTGTAACAGGTTTTTCTATGGCTTCTTATTGCTTTCTGTCTTGTTCGACACCATCTTAAATTGAGGGAATTTAAAATCACTTTTGATTAATCATCTGATACAACGATGGAAAAATGTGGCACAGGATGTTGAAGCCAAAGGGTTTAACCCGGGATTGATCGTCTTACTTCTAGTTGGCGGCCCTCTCTTGTGTTTCCTTGTTGGAAATTATGTCCTCTACGTTTATGCCCAAAAAACCCTTCCTCCTCTGAAGAAGAAGCCAATCTCCAAGAAGAAGATGAAGAAGGAAAGACTGAAGCAAGGCGTTTCAGCCCCAGGAGAATAAATTTTGGATAGAATGGGGTTGTTCCCTTTCCATGGTGAGCTGCAGTGTTAGAAATTTCCTACGTTGGAAACTTTGTAGAGATTGTTACTCTGTTTTAGACTCATTCTCTTATCATGTTTGATAAAGCTTCACTTCACAATTTAAAATCCTGTTGTTTTGCTAGCAGACCAGAAGAAAGAATGTTGTTTGTTTTCTCTTGTGTTATTGGATATTGTGTCGGCTATGTTGTTTGACTTTGCAACTATTTGTGACTTGAATCATGCTACAGTGCCATTACCATAATCCTGGACATAGTGCCATATGGCATTCCATTATTGGATTGTTTTAAACAGTCTGATTTTCCATCAAATCATCTGCTGTCACCTTGGATTATATCACTACATTTGTCATATTTCTTATGGCAAAGTGGCAAAATTCATGTGGCTTTGGTAAGTAGATTTTTTATAGGTAATTTTGCATTTTGAATTTAGTATGCTGTGGTAGAAGCTGTTCGTAAAACCATAATCTGACCAATTGTCTTAGCATTTAATATACTGTTGTAATGATGTTCCGATTTTAGCAATTGCTCGAATGACAGCAGCTAATGGTGTCTATTAGGTCGAACTGGTTGCAGAGGGGCCTGAATGGTCTGTTTATGGGCATAGGGTTTTTCACGGGTGGCCCAACTCCATCCTGCTACATTTCTCTGTGACCCATCTTGCAACAGACCCTCTTGGCCTTCCAGCTCATTTTGGCACCACTAAGATTGAGAATTCATTTTGTTTCTTCTACTTCTTTACTTGGCAGTTTGGTTAGAGATTCGGATTAGTTACCCTCAAGAGAATATTCACCTACAGTCGGATTAAGGAGCTAGCCAAAGCTTAACGCTGCCCTTTAATCTGAATATACTGCACAGGTGCTGTTCCCTTGTTGCTGCTAGTGATTAGTAAAGCTTAGGCCCATTATTTGTGTTACACGAGGATTATGTTATGGAATGTGTAAAATCACATTTGGTGTTACTCTCAAGGACTGTCCGACGGACATTTGTTCACGGAGCAGTATATAAAATCATCAAAATCTAAGCTTTAATATCAAAATTGTAACATCCCAAATATCTGTGTAATGTCTATGAATTTATTAATTTGACTACTAATTTTCTGATAACAATAAAATAATGTTATATCACATTGCTCTAACACCATTTTAAGACGACTTCCAAATCATATAACAATTAGGCTATGTTTGATTGCCATATTTTCCATGGAAAGTGTCACATTCGAGGAGAACGAATTTCATTTTGACCATTTGATTGTAATGTGGAAATGGAAATCGAATTTCAAAGTACAACCATTTTATGCTGCATTTTCTTTGTTCTCATAGAAAACGAATTTCTATGGATTTGATGGATTTTTATCTTCGTTTACCTATCAAACGGACCCTTGTTGTATGACTAAATAGAACGCAAGTATTTTACTTTAAAATCTCTTATTTTGCTTTAGTTTAAATAGAAATTATTTGCTAAGCACAGTTACTTATGCTAAGTAATATTGACGTAAACACATTAGTTGAATTATTTAATTCCTATGACCTACCATGAGCTTATATACCTATTAATTGCGTGTCATGACAATGTTGCTAACATAATTAGATCATTTTCTTAATTTATGTACACTTGAATAAAATAGAATACAATATATTCTATAATTTGATGTAAAATATTCAGTATTAAGTTCACTCAGATGTAAACTTTTTTGGGTTCCCCTAGTGATAGACCCACTGAACCATTGTCGAGTACCATGTAAATAGAGATGGCAAAAAAATCCGTCCTGTCCCACCCCAACAGGTTGGCGGGGCGGGCGGAGATGCCCCTCCCCGAGAAGAATTAAAAAAAAAAAATTGTTTTGAACATTTTTTTTGTTTCGATTGCTTGCTTTGGATATTGATGTAGTTAATTTGAGCATCATTTGTTTTGAATTTTAAAATTTTGAATTTGTATTTTAAAAAAAACGGGGGCAGGGGGTGCCCCGCCCCGTTGCCATCTCAACATGTAAACAGTCGTTTCATCATCCGAGAATTGGCACCAACCTCTGTTACATGCATTAACATACCTATAATTCAAACTGAGCATGAACCATCACCTCTCTTATGTTTTGGACATTTTTTTGTTTCGAGTGCTTGCTTTGGATATTGATGTAATTAATTTGAGCATCATTTGTTTTGAATTTTAAAATTTTGAATTTGTATTTTAAAAAAAACGGGGGCAGGGGGTGCCCCGCCCCGTTGCCATCTCAACATGTAAACAGTCGTTTCTATCATCCGAGAATTGGCACCAACCTCTGTTACATGCATTAACATACCTATAATTCAAACTATATTAGCAAATGCTCAGCCAATCTCATTCTCAAAATTCAAGTTTTTTGTCGTTATCTCAACTTATTTGTCTTCTTTGGTCCCAAAACCCACTACCATGTCATGCATAAATATCAGTAAGACTAATAACATGCACATCTTCCAGTGCCTTTGGATCAATCATCACCTATCAAGACTTGAGAGATCAAATTGTGTCTACCATTACAAACTGAGGCTCAGGCTAAGGCAGCGAGAGATATAATCAAGTATGACCTATGTAAACAGCTCACTGTGCCGATTCAAAGTCCCAAAGTTACTAAAGGACATCCTAACACTGCTCAATCGGACCCCAAACACCCTATCATCAACTGCCATTAATTACCATTGAGAGCCTCAAACAGTGTATCTATTTGTCACGAAGAGTAGTGTGGTACATCCGTAGGTCGATTTCATTATATTCATTGTTATCTTCTCTTACCAAATATCATATCTGAGCATGAACCATCACCTCTCTTACTTTCATTATCTCTTCTTTTATGAATTATGCATTGATTACTTCTCTTTTGTTCATGCATACGTATATGAATGTCATTTTATATCTCGTGCACTATGATTATAATGACATATTAAAGCATTTTGATGGAAATCTATGTGCATTGCTAACATCATATAATCAAATCATATTCCAATACTTCAACGGTATAAAGATATTCAACGACAAATATTATATTCCATATACATTGCATCATTAGTATATATTATGAAAATACATAGGAGGATATTATAATATAGATACTATTATTTTGCATTATAGTTGAATTGCCACTGCTATTCTTCCCTACCTTAGCATTTATGACTTTGTTCCCCACTTTTCATATCTATATTAGCCTCTCCTTATATCAATTGTTCATATGTTAATCATGACCACATCTTTCGGGATCAATTTACCGGTCAAATGAGGATAAAAATTCCAAAATGGGGTTTCAAAGTGAAGCATGGTAGTAGGCATCGACACTGGGGAACTAATGCCCAGAATACATGGAGAAACTAGAGTCTTAAGATTGAAAGTGATCTCCGCAAGGAATATAATATAATTGGAAAGCTTATCGAGTCAAGAGTACAATGCATTTTACGTATCTCAATTTCAAATTTTATATTAAAAGAGTTATGTGCGTTTCTGTCCAAGTTGTGCCGCTATTTGAGCTAAGGGGCTCGACCCCTATGGATATAGCCCATAGGGTTGATACTGTAGTCCCCCCCTCCTCCCACCCCAAAAAGAAAAAAATAAAAATAAAAATAATCATGGAGGTTGAACCCTAGAATTGAGGTCGCCTTTGCATCGCATTGCTTACGATGTTGAGATCATTTATACTATATTTTTATCATTCTTGTTAACTTGTTTAGGTATTTAAAATTGCATTGCAAAACCTTTTCATTGGGCCACCCTTCATAAATTCTCCCAACCCAAGCATGCTTAACTTTAAGAGTAATGCTATTTAATATTAGTAATATTATTTAGCATTACTGGTGTTTATTATCGAATTAGGTGGCATCACTTGTGTCATTGAATTATAAATTCAATTAAATATAAGAATTTATAACTCATTTATTATGACATATCACATACTTACACATAGAGTGATACTTTAGTATAACTGGTGCTAGATATCATTTCTCTAACTTTAATGTTTCAGTAAAATCTCGTAGATGTACATACGGTCTAACTAAAGCTTGTATCTCGTGCCCTATATGATTCACGTGTATTGTACATCATTTTTACTATTTTTACTTATCTCTAAGTAATTAAAACTAAAATAGAATAACTTAAACCTTTATTACCTTCCGTGGCTTTCTTTCTTATATCCAACTACTAGATTATTCAAGGAATGAGCACCAATGCAAAGCACTAGTCTAGATGGTGTTCGTTCAACTCTCATTAATTATCTAAAAGGTACAAACATAAATTATGTTGACCCTGTGAAATGGACCTTCACGTGGCCAACAGAAAATAATTCCACTTATATTCCTCCCTACACACTTGGCGCAAACGGTCATTTGTTCGTGGCCACTTCCGACGGTGGTGGTTGCGGCCACAAACACTCCCACGATCAAGTTAGTCGACAATAATTGCAAACAACTAATCCTTCCTGATAGCGGGAACCACCGAAATTTCTATAGTATCTCAAGAGGGGAGGAGAAATGGTGAATTCTTAATAGTGAAGTCACCTTACATTACAAAGGCATAGAGCATAAGTATTTATAGAGAAAGAGATGAAAGAAGAAACGTTGGATGGAGAACAAGTAGCTTCATCTGCTGGTCCGAAGCATCTCTTCATAGACGTCTATCTATCACTCCATAGGTGGGCAGGGCCTGTTTGACATCCATTTTATTTCTCATTTTTTTTCTCTTTCTTCATTTCAACCACACATTCTATCAAGAAAATAATATTACACATAAACCCAAAAATTCTCCTTATTTTTTAACCACACATTCTTCTGTATCTTATGTTGAAGCATTGACTGCCATCAGCAGGTGTCTTCTAGCCATGCGGCTCAGTCCTCGTTCATACCAACGCTATCCACTTAGGATATTCGCCTCGTACTATATTGCTTTTAGGTGCTTTGACGCCTCGGAGCGTGGGCTTGTTTTGATGACCGACGACTCGTTGTAAGATGCAATTCCATTTAAAATGACTTGTCAATTAAAGTCACCTAAATTGGTGTTGTTCCACAAAAAATTTATAAATGTCCTCTTATCCATATTCCATCATTATGACGGACGGTGGCAAGCACTTGTCTATGACAAAATAGAATTGATTAGTGGTTAGTTTCGCACTTATAAAGTAGTGATTAGTGGATGAATAACCAAACAAAAAAAAGGCATATCCCTTATATAGACTCGACTAGGATACTAATAAGTTGTACTACCTCCATCTCATAAAGATAAGCTTGATTTCATTTTCCATCCGTCACAAATTATAGGTCACTTTCTTTATTGAAAGTATATATATTTTTCAATTTTTTGATATGTCCCCATTTAATGTACATTATTATCAACAAATATAAACTAATCATATTTAAACAATTATTTAATGTATGGGCATATTAGGACAAATGCAAAAAAAAAAAATTATATTTCCTACTATATTAATTATATTTTCTTATTTAGTTTTAAAATTGAAATATGACTATTTTTATGGGACGAATGTAGTGTTTTTCTTCCACGTATGATATAAAATATTTCATGTATTAATTTATCTCAGAAAATTTGTATCATGCCACGAATTCGAACAGCTTTAACAATGGAATATGTGAGTTTGGTCTACAGCAATAATTTGTATTTGCACGGAAAATGCACTTTGCCATAAAGATTCTCCTGTACAAAGCCAGATGTAAAATCAGAAACTTTCAATTAACCATAAACCTATTTGAGTGTTTTCAATTCATCAACCCTAAAAGACAAGCAAAAATATTAATCTCAGTATCGCATAATGTTTGTTTATATAACTTTAGAAAACAGAAACAAATTCACTCGTTCTGGTTCTGCTAATTGAAGGTCTCAATTTCTAATGAATTATGTTATGAACAGGGCTAATTATACCTAACCTTCTTTGCCTCGAGAAATTAATATCTGGATTAAGCCTTTCTCCAGTTCTTGCCGGTTCAGATTTACACCTTGTGAGTAGTAAAGGATGCACTGCACCTCCGGCATTTTCTTTTGAACCTAGAACATTATTCACCGAATTTTCAGATTCTTGATTTCTTCTTAAATCCAACATCACATTTTCACAGCTGGGCTTTTGTAATTCTTGAAATTCATGCCCCGGTTTTGCTTCAATTTTTGTGTCATGCTCAGTTTCTGTTGAGGCCAATGGAGAACCCCAAAACTGGCCTGCTAATGATGAAGATCTATAAGGTGCAGAACGGCACCTAGTCAATAGTAAAGCATTTCTTGGTGGCGAAGAATCAAGAAAATTCCCATTATTTTCTTGAATTTGAGCTTCAACCTTCTTACAATTCCTATCAATTTTATGGACTTCGTTCCTTTGGATTTCTTGGTTCGAATCAACCCTGCAAGAATCCTCTCTTGTATCAACTTTCTTGCAAAACCCAGAGCGAAAACACAAACCCCCTCCGCAGGAATGCCTTGGTCTATGACATTTCGATGAAATTATACTTCGTTCCTTTGGATTTCTTGGTTCGAATCAACCCTGCAAGAATCCTCTCGTGTATCAACTTTCTTGCAAAACCCAGAGCCAAAACACAAACCCCCTCCGCAGGAATGCCTTGGTCTATGACATTTCGATGAAATTATTTTATGGAAAAACAGCGTTTTCTTGAGCCCCCAGCAGGGGCGGTTTGCAGCAGCGGAGGAACCATCTCCGGGTCGTTGTGAGGAGGTTGTTTTGGACGAAGAAGTTCTCACTTGGACTTGGCCAAAGCAAGTAACTTTTGGAGAGGATGGTTCAATAACTGGCGCAGCATCTTTTTTGCTACGCATGCGAAACATTGGAATCGAACGTGACCTGCCTCTGCTTCTGCTCCCTGTATTGCTCCTCAAGAATCTCATCAATGGCGGCGGAAATTTCTCTGCCCTGCTTGGACTCGATATTGGCTTTGATAAACCTTTCATCGTCTCTCTCTTTCTCCTCCCTCCCTCTCTCTCTCTCTCTATATATATATACACACACAGCGCTGTATCTACAATCAAGAAATACCTGTTAGCCGCCCTTGTCTATTTCTTCATGTTTTTCTGTCTCTCTCTCTCTCTCTGTAGTTCCATATTCTATCTTCGTTTTGGGGTGGTGGTGAGTAATGTTTGTATAGGGTATATGTTTTATTTATTTATTTATCTTTTTGAGGTACTGTAAATCTTAATTTTTATTATTTATATTTTAATTTTGCACGGGTGGATGGAACAGAGACCCATAGACATTTTAATTTCGGATTGTATGGTTGTGCTTGGCTTTAGTGCTTAATGGATCTTGGAATTCCCAATCATCACATATCTCTATGTTGGTTAAGTTTACAGTAAATTCCAATTACTGTGGTATACATAATTAAGCCTGGCCATCATCATAAAAAGAAGTCTGGAAAAATGATGTGTTTAAATGGTGAATTTTTGGACAATGTATGGTTAAAAAGTATGAAAAAATTTTAAATTTACGTGTAAAATATTTTATTATATGAATATATAATTGAAAATGAGTACGAAAAATAAAGAATTTTAATTTAAAAATGGTCAAATCTGGGCTAAAGAAGATACACACTAATATATTAATTACTTAGTGGGTGTTTGGTATGGATTAATATTAGATTTTTAGTAGATTGTGACAGAAGTTTTTGAAATGTGTAGTTGAAAAGCTGTGTGACCCATAAAAAATGTGGTTAATATTGATTGTTTGAATTTGACTTAGATTAAAATCTGATTTTAATTCGAAACAAACGGGGCCTTAAGAGTACAATTTTTATTGTGTTGTAAGTTAGCTGTTGAGAAAACGAAAATGAAAGAAACTGAATTGAAGGGATAGAACCTGCTATTACAGCAGGGAAGAAGATGAAAATTATATTCATTCAACTTGAGGATTACAATGCATATAAGAGCTCTATTTATAGAGAAAATTCTAACAATCTAACAAACTAAGAAGAATCTGGAAGCAGGTTGCATGTGCTGGTTAGCTGAACCTGAGCTAGAAAAGCTTGAACTGATAAGTGATATGTGGAGGTGGAATGTGCTGATGCTGATCTGATCTTGTGATTTGCTGTGGCTATGGGCATATTCTAACATTCCCCCCTCAAGATGGAACATCTTGAACTTGGAGAAGATGACAGAGATGCAACTGGGGTTGAAGACAACAGAGAAGCATTCCGGATAGAGGAAGAAACAGATCAGAATTCTGATCCAAAAAACAGCAAGAAATTCAACCAGAACAGAAGGAGCATCCATGGCTCTGTCGGGGATTTGCTGAAAAACTTCATCACCATTGATGAATGAAATGAGAACTGGAAATGCAAAAATAAACTCCAGCAATGACTGGAAGAAAACCACCAGTGCAATCCCCTCGCCAGTGGGAACTTCTGTCGAACACATGGCGGACGACCAAAAAACATATCAGTAGTGACACAGCAAAAATAAGCCATGAAGTGGACCGTATGTAGTTATTGATGATAGGACTAAATCTGCAATTGATAATAGGGATCGTCAGCTTCAGGAGATAGTGATTCTGATGATCCACTCGAGATCATGAGTCTGGCAACCAAGATGAATAAACCAGGAACAGAAAAACCCGCAGCATGTCTTCTTCCAGATTCGATTATTGAAGAAGAACAAAATAACAAAAAAGGAAATGCAAACGGAAGGAGCATATCGCTCTGATACCATGTTGAAAAAACGAAAATGAAAGAAACTGAATTGAAGGGATAGAACCTGCTATTACAGCAGGGAAGAAGATGAAAATTATATTCATTCAACTTGAGGATTACAATGCATATAAGAGCTCTATTTATAGAGAAAATTCTAACAATCTAACAAACTAAGAAGAATCTGGAAGCAGGTTGCATGTGCTGGTTTGCTGAACGTGAGTTGGAAAAGCCCGTGAACTGATAACTGATATGTGGAGGTGGAATGTGCTGATGCTGATCTGATCCGATCCTGTGATTTGCTGTGGCTGTGGGCATATTCTAACATTAGCAGAAGTTGAGGAAGCTGTCAAATACAAACTACAAGGTCATCTGTTTGGGTTTGACTTTAATTTTAATACATTTTTCTTTTTCTTTTTTCAATCTTACATTCTCCAATAAAATAAAATTACACGTAATTTAAAATATTTCATTCTTTTTTAACCACAAATTCTTCAAAAAAATCAATATTCCAAAATATATTTTTCTCAAAAATACATTAAAATGAAGCCCAAACAGGGACTAAACTATTACTAATTTTGGCTATTAATCGAATCCATCAATTTCTTTTAATTCTTCTCGATTCAAGCGAATGAAATGGCAATTTTCTCAAAGATACCTCTGTCATTATCTAATATACTACTTTTTGGGTGTATAGTTTTTTCTTTACGACTTAAGTCCATAGACCTAGACAGGATCAATTTGATGCGTAAAATGGACAAAATTAAGGAAGCAATGAACGTGTTAAATTGTCCAAATATAAATTGAACGGGATCCAAATTTTTCTGTCCGAGAATGCTGAGAAATGTGCACATCCACCTTAGTCTAATCACCATTTGAGTGATAAAACTAAGAGAATAAAGAGCATGTTTGATATGTTAGATTTTCAATTATAAAGTTTTTTTCCAAGAATGCTGTGAAGTGTGCATATCCACCTATAAGCACTGGTGGACCCGGGGGGCACGTGTCCCCCAATTTTTGAGAATTTTTTT